AAAAGAGGAGGAAGAAGCCGCCCCCCCCCCCGAGCCAAGTTCCCGTCCCCGTTGCTGCTTGGCTGCTATGGGCAATGGGCCCTTTCTCACATTTGCGGGGCTGCCAGAAACCCAGCTCAGAGCTGCCAGTCTGTAGAGGAGCAAAGGCCTTGCTCTTCCCTTCCCCTCCCCCGAGTCATCAGCCCCACCAATAATCTCAGGGCAATTCCACCCAGAAAGAGTCACGTGAATCCGCTGCCCGCATGGGTCTGATCTGAGCTCGGCGCTTCCTGGCTGGGCCAGACGAGAACTGAACGAAGTCTGGAAGAGAAGATACTGACCAGTAAGGCCTGGGCTCCAAGTCGGACAGCCAGCCTGCGGGGAAGCCCCATCTTCACCCCACCATCTGCCAGAGCATCCAGGGCCGTGAATGCCTGAGAGGAGAAAGCCCGACAGCGATTGTGAGGTTTGGCTCCGAGGTGTGTCTGTCAGGCTGCGGCACTCCGGGGGGGAGGACTGCCCAAGGCTCTGGGACCACTTGGGATTGCTACAAATCTCTGCTCATTCAGGACAAGCTCTGAGCAAGTGACGATGCCAGACTGGGCAGCCGGGAACTCTCAGGCTCCCCAGCACATGCTGCAAACCCCCCAAGAGGGCCTCAGCCTACAGGGCCCAGCTATTCCACCCTCAACCTCAGGGAACCTGCTGACAAGCAGCCCACCCGGCACCTGCTCTGGTGACATGCCCACTAGGAACTGGACAGAACCCACACTCGATACTCGGAGGCCAAGCCCAGTCTGGCTGTTAGACTCACTGATGAGCTGGCCTAGCTTTGAATGGAGACACCTGCAAGTTACTGGCAATCCAGGTGATCACACATTCAAATCTACGCCCTCAGTCAAGTCTGCAGCCTAAACCGATCCCAATGGAAGCTGTGGGCAAGTTCCCAGCCCCAGTGTTCTCCACTCAACTGGCCTGACTCAAGGAAGCAGCACCTACATAAGCAGGGCCACTGCCACTGAGTCCTGTCACAGCATCGATTAGGTCCTCTTCCACCTCAGTGCAGAAGCCCACGCTGGCCATCAGCTGTTCCAGAAGCTTCCCATCTTCCACATCTGCATGAGTCCCTGTGGCATAGACGGTGGCACCTTCTCGCACGATCACAGGTGTGTTAGTCATGCACCTGATCACTTTTGGGGTGGGGCAGAAGGCAGAGAGTTTCTTCGGATGGGAAAGGGTTGGGGGACAGAAAGGGAGGAAGAGAGACAGACCCAGAGTCAGCACCTCTACATCTGGAGAAGCCAGAGGTACCGTGTCCTCACCCCATCCCTAGGCACTTCTGCAGGATGCACATCAGAATTCCCTGCTGAGCCTTTGCCAAGGGGACAAACCCTTAATGCAACGTCCCCTAGAGCACTGGACACAGCCTGCCCATCCCTTGCTAGCAGCAGCATCATCCACACAGTCCAGCCCCTGTGGTCTCCATGGGGCAGCTCTCTCCTATAGTATAATGAGCCTCCCTGAATACAGAGGGGCTGTCAGCTTTCAGCAGGGGAAAAAAAGGCCCATTCAGGTTTCATATGATTATGGGAATGGTCAGGGACGATGCCAAGGTCCTATTGACATAGACCCGGGCATTCTAGGACAGTCCAGCAGAAGAGGGACTGGAAAACAGATGGGTCTCCTTACTGGAGTAAGGGGGATTCTTTGGTGGTCATAGGCCCGGACAGCCCTACACCCCTCTGCAGGAAAGGGACATTCAATCGGTGTAGCTGGAATCCATAGCACTCTGGCTATGACTATCCAGACTGCTCCTTACAGCTCACTACAGCCGGGGCAAAAGTCAGAGACTGTTTTAGCTTATCCAGGGTATGATCAGGAGAGAGAAACGTGGCTGAGTGCAACCTTTGCTCCTCTAAAAAACGGCTGCAGCCCAGGAATGGGCCGGAGTTTCGTGGGACCTGTTGTGCTCTCCGTGCCAGAAATAAAAACTGTATTCAACAAGCCAGTCTCAATGCCAGGCACCCAGAGGCCCCAACTCTCTCTGGGGAAAGCTTTCTAGAGTTGAAGTACCTTGACTTCAAGAAGCTTCAGGTGCACATCAATCACAACGCATGAGTAGCCTGTAATCCTAACCTCCCGCCCTTTGATACCATCACTGCTGCTAAGCACACTACTTCTCACCTTCTCAATGGAGCTGATAGTGACACCAGCAGCACATGAGACCACGATATGGCGATTCTCTATGTCTGAGCCAATTTCGTCCAGAATGAAGGGGATGATGGGAGGTTTCACAGCCAGGAACAGAACGTCGCTGTTTTTAACTGTTTCCTTGTTACTTATAGTGAAGTTTACACCTATTTTCTGGAATGATTTGAAAGTTACACAGCAGCAACACTTCATTCCGAGAACTGCCTTGTATTCTCGGCTCTTAGAAACACAGGGCCAGACTAGCTCAGGAGAGAGCACAGCAGTAACCCAGTAAGAACAGGACAGTTTGGTTTTTTAGTTACCAAAGGGAAAAGAAACAAAGTTACATCCCCAGCCTTTGGCTCTGATCAGTTCTACATGGCACTTTCACTGTAGTGCAGTCTCACACCTGGAACATGCAACTCTTGACTCTATTCGTACCTTTAGATGCCCACAGTGGTTCTGCATTGGCTTCTTGTGGCAAAGTTTTTTTGCCCAAAAGATGGGAACCACCCACCTTTCCTGACTCTGTGTCCACTGCTGGAAATAACTGAACCCAATTGCCAGTAGCAGGAACATAAGAACGGCCGTACTGGGTCCGACCAAAGGTCCATCTAGCCCCGTATCCTGTCTGCCGACAGTGGCCAGCACCAGGTGCCCCAGAGAGGGTGGACCGAAGACAATGATCAGCAATTTGTCTCCTGCTATGCTCCTCCAGCCTCTGACAAACAGAGGCCAGGGACACCACTTCTATCCCCTGGCTAATAGCCTTTTATGGACCTAATGTCCATGAAATTATCTAGCTTCTCTTTAAACTCTGTTATAGTCCTAGCCTTCACAGTATCCTCTGGCAAGGAGTTCCACAGGTTGACTACATGCTGTGTGAAAAAGAACTTTCGCTTATCAGTTCTAAACCTGCTACCCATTAATTTCATTTTGTGTCCTCTAGTTCTTCTATTATGGGAACTAATAAATAACTTTTCTTTATCGGCCCTCTCCACACCACTCATGATTTTATATTCCTCTATCATATCCCCCCTCAGTCTCCAATTTTATAAACGGAAAAGTCCCAGTTGTTTTAACCTCTCTTCATATGGGACCTGTTTCAAACCCCTAATCATTTTAGTTGCCCTTTTCTGAACCCTTTCCAAGGCCAAAATATCTTTTTTGAGATGAGAAGACTACATCTGTACACAGTATTCAAGTCAGAGGCAAGAAGAATCAGACCCTGCCTGATTGAGCCAAGCAGAGAAAAAGACATGCAATACTGAATGCTGTACTCCTACTCATGACCACTGCAAACATGTTGGGATCTTTATGGGATTTCTGTAGGTAGGCATTTGGATTTTACAAACCCTAAAACTTACCCTCAGTCCAGATACAGTTGGGAGATCCGTGTCTGGGGAACTTGCTGTGATCTTATGAGCAGCCAAGATCCCTAGAAAAGGGGATAACTTCAGCTTAGGTTCCACACATCCTGCTTACGCCACAGCTTCATAACTGTTATTTATCCAAGTTATTCTGAAGGTGATGATGCCCCAGTGTTTTTTTGTGTGACAGTACTGTCTCATACACAGTACCGGTACCTCCGGTCAGAGGTTATCTGGAGCATACTGGTACCTCTGTATGCAAATATCTGAGAGTCGTCTGGGCCGTGTCTCTTAAAAGAGCAATGCCAGCTCCACCCCAGCACCCTTAAAAAAAAACACCGACTGATCCCAATGGCTCTCTACTAATACACCATCTGCATTCTCAAGAACCCTGTGCCTTCAGCTGAAATACACACATTTGCATTAAATGAAGAAAAAACAGGGCTATGTAGCACTTTAAAGACTAACAAGATGGTTTATTAGGTGATGAGCTTTCGTGGGCCAGACCCACTTCCTCAGATCAAATTGTGGAAGAAAATTGTCACAACCATATATACCAAACGATATAATTTAAAAAAAATTAATTGTATCCTGTGGTCTATATGGTTGTGACAGTTTTCTTCCACAATTTGATCTGAGGAAGTGGGTCTGGCCCACGAAAGCTCATCACCTAATAAACCATCTTGTTAGTCTTTAAAGTGCTACATAGTCCTGTAGTTTGTTTCAGCTACACCTGACTAACACGGCTGCATTTCTACCACTTAGCTACAGAAGGCAGTTTTAATTCACACCTCTTTGTTACTGCAGTGCGAATCCATGCACGGGGATACCTTGACACTAACGGGTCAGATTTAAGTTTTGCTTACGGCTTTTTCCAAGTTGTCTTTGCACCCGTCAAGGGGTCTCCCCAGACCTTCCCTCCACCACTCGGCAGATTCCCTGCCCTGCTCCCGCTGCTGGCAGGGACGACGCAGCTGAGGCCGGCCAATCCATGCGTGAGGGGGTGGTGGCACTCCTGACATTTGACCAATCGGAAGGAGGAGGCGGAGTCACCGCTCAGTCCGCGCCACCCATTGGGGCAACCTTTGTTTGCAATTGCATCATTCGCTTCCTACGAGGGCCGCGAGGGGTCATTGTGTCCCGGCATGCAATGGAGCAGCCTATGACGACGCAGCTGAGGCCGGCCAATCCATGCGTGAGGGGGTGGTGGCACTCCTGACATTTGACCAATCGGAAGGAGGAGGCGGAGTCACCGCTCAGTCCGCGCCACCCATTGGGGCAACCTTTGTTTGCAATTGCATCATTCGCTTCCTACGAGGGCCGCGAGGGGTCATTGTGTCCCGGCATGCAATGGAGCAGCCTATGAGGCGCATCCTGGGCACAAGCTGCCTTCTGGGAAGTGTAGTGTCGGGGGAGGGCTCAGTGGCCGAGGGTTAACGCAGGGGTGGGCAATACATTCGGGGGGCGGGGAGGGAATACACTCCAAGATTTTGGGAAGTGGTGGAGGGCCAGCACATTAATGGAGGACTTCAGGGATGGAGGATGGGTGCAGAAGGGAGCTTGGGAGAAGGAATTGGGGTGCAGGAAGAAGAATAGGGTGGGGGGGAGTTTGGGGGAAAGAGGCAGCTGTGACCTAGGGCAGGGAACTGGGGTGCAGGATTCTGGGATGTGACCTAGGGCAAGAAGGAATTGTGATCTGGGACAGGAGATTGGCGTGCCAGAAATGGGAGGGAGTATGGGTGCAAGAGGGGGCAGAGGGTTGGGAAAGGGAGGGGCTGGGGTACCAGAGGCAGGCTCTGGCTGGGAGGCACTTACCAGCAGAAACCTGAGGCAGGCTGTCTGCTGCAGGCTGCTCCACATGGCTCTGCTCCAGGCACGCGAGGAAGGGAGAGAGAAGGCTTCCTACACTGCCCCTGCTCCCTGCAAAAATTTTCAGCTCCTATTGGATGGAAACTGAGAGATTGGGAGCTAAGAGATTTTGCTGGGGTTGGGAACAGCATGAGAAGTTTTCCTTCTCCCTCCCCATCCGTCCAGAATGGAAAACAGCTGGCTTTTTAAAGTGTGAGCTTTTCTTTGCCTAGGCGTGTTGGCAAGATCCAGTGGTTTGGAGGGCTGAATCTAGCCTGCTGGTAGCCTCTTGCCCACCCCTGGGTTAACAGCACCAACAGGCTCTGGAACGTTCCAATAGTGTTCCCGCCTTTGGCCAGCGCACACAGGGTGCGTCATGGGGATACGCCTCCACACAGAGGCGCGAGGGGGCCTCAGTGGCTCTGAACAGATGGACACAGGGAGAGCCTGGCTCAGGCCACCTCAGGTCTGGATGGACAGGCAGACACTGGAAGTGCCTGGCTCAGGCCACCTCCAGTCTAGATGGACAGACAGACACAGGGACAGGTGGCTCAGGGCACCTCATGTCTAGACCAGTGTTTACTAAAGTGGTCCATGAAACCACTTTGAGAAACCTGCTAACTGGCTGCTCCGGTGCGTTTACTTACTGACACTGCAGCCACAGAGCCTCACAGCTCCCATTGTGGTCAAAGGGAGCGACTTGAGACGGGCCACTGCTTCCTGTGGCTCCCCTTGGTCACAAATGGCAAAACTGAGCCAATGGGAGCTGTGGGGCTCTGTGGCTGCAGTGTCAGTAAGTAAACGCACCGGAGCGGCCAGTTAGCAGGTTTCTGAAAGTAATTTTCTGGATCACTTTGGGAAACACTGGTCTAGATAGACAGACGGGTGCAGGGAGGGCCTGCCTCAGGGTGCCTTGGGTCTAGATGGACAGACGGGTAGGGTTGCCAGATGGCTGAAAGAAAAATACCAAACACCCTCCCCCTCCACCAAAAAACAAACCCACCCGGGGGGGGAGGGGGGGGGGAATTTGTTGAGAAAAAAAAACCCAACAACCTCCAAGAACCTGGATCACTGCTAGCGGTTACCAGGTAATCGTTAAAAAAAAACAAAAAAAACCCCGAACATGCTTCATTGGGGGGGCATCCAGG